CCTCAGGGCCGCTACCAGGACCCCTACTACGGGGGGTACGGGGGGAGGAACGGCTCCGAAGCGCCCTACGTGCCACAGAGCACCTGGAAGGCCGAGCCAGCATATCCCACCAGTAACACTGTGGGCCAGGCTCCTCCCGGGCTCTACCAGCCGCCCGGCACGAAGAAGACCTACATCACTGACCCGGTGCTGGCCCCGCAGCCGCCCGCGATGCAGCAAAAGGTAGGAGATGTGGGTGCTCGCTAGCCTCCCCGCGGGAGTGGAGAGCCACACAGCTGAACATGCCCTGGGACCCTTCCGGAAAGGCGGCGTGGGGGGGTTAAATGGTGCCTGCGGGGGCTTGGGACAAGTCTCCCTCCATACGGCTTCTTAAAAGCTGGAAGTAGGGAACTCTCATCTGGTTTGAAAAGAGGCTTTTGTGGGGGCTTAGAAACGCTGCAGCCTCAAAGAGCGAGACGGTGTCACGTGCGGAGGCATGGTGTCACCCTGCGGGCAGGAGGGAGGTTTCGTCCCTCTGACATGCCGTTACCCGAGGAGCTTGCTGGCCGTGCTTCCATACGGCGTTGCTGCACGTGGGTCTTTCCTTCCAGGCCCTCCCAAGATCAAACGAGAGGTTGGGTGAGAGCTTCTGCTCCGTGTGCTTGTGGACACCTCTGGTTCACTGGACAAATCCTTCCTCTTCTCAGGCAGATAGGAGGTACACAAGAGGCTGGTTTTGATTGTGGTTCAGAGTGATTGCAGAGGTTGACCTCTGGTGTGTCGCTGTTCGAAACCACATGGAAATGAGTTCCCGCAGAGCTCAGCTCTGATTTTCCTCTCAGGTGGTGGTACGGCGGGTGGCCTCCATCCACTTGAACCAGTGCCCAAACCTCATAAAGTGAGGCCGATTTTAGATAGAAAATTAAACTGGTCTGCCTGGTTTCTCTGCCCAGACTTTGACCCTGACTGGCTTTTGTCACTTCTGCTGGTGGCTGTCTCTAACGTGGCTCTGGGAGGGGACAGGAGCTTTAGCTTTGTGGGGTCCTCGTAGTGTATGATGGGCTTAGGCTCCACCGAAGGATGAGGATGGCCAAGCCCAGGGGAGGAGGTGGTGAACCCATCACTGCCCAGGCCCACCCTGGCTCATCTCAGCGTGTCC